CATCTGCAATAAGTGATTCGGTTTTAATGTCAGCATTGAGTTCGTCCAAGCAATGGATCTCAATCTCATAAAACATGTGGCATTTCACCAAGGTTGTAGCCATGGAGTCAACATTGGGGGGGACCAAATCTTCCAGGGGGTCAACCCCCAGAAACTAAATCTAAATTTGAAAACTAATTTCTTGCCTAAAATATTGAAAAAAATTCACTAACATATAGGATTTAAATTTTATGTATTTTTAACAATAATGTCTAATATTGTATTGTATTACATTGCTCTGTTTTTTTATTTTTGATCTTTTCTTGTTTCATTGTAATATATTGGGGGGGACATTTTGAGCATATTTGAATATTGGCCTTGCATTTCACCAGTATTGGGTCAAGCAAGCCCGACTTTGGCGATGAGACAGTGATAACAACCTGCCCAATGTATTTGTTTGCTCCAACGCTGATGAAAGTACGGATTCTCAGAAGCAGCATTTGTTGTCACTGTGAATGAGCGCGATCAGAGCTTGGATCGGCGACCACTGATCACAGCAGGTGCTGGAGACTGCGGGGGCTGCAATGTGATCTGTAGGTCTGTGCAGAAACATCGTTGTACTGCACTTACATACTCCACCTATGCTGTCCCCCGCCTTCACAACCCCGCACTGCCCAGAGTGGTGAAGTATGGTCAAATAACCCCCACGACCCACACGGTGTGGGGGGGGGGTCCTCATCCAGCAGTAGAGTGACTCGAATAAGACGCGACACCGTGGAGAAGTTGTGGGATGAGGAGGCTACGATTATAACAATGGTCACCACCAACCCCTCCTCAGTGTTTATACTGCGGAGCTTTAGCGTCCGACTCACACGGAGCCCGCGTGGGGCTTTAGCGTCCGACTCACACGGGGCCCGCGTGGGGCTTCAGCGTCCGACTCACACGGGGTCCGCGTGGGGCTTCAGCGTCCGACTCACACGGGGTTCGCGTGGGGCTTCAGCGTCCGACTCACACGGGGTCCGCGTGGGGCTTCAGCGTCCGACTCACACGGGGTCCGCGTGGGGCTTCAGCGTCCGACTCACACGGGGTCCGCGTGGGGCTTCAGCGTCCGACTCACACGGGGTCCGCGTGGGGCTTCAGCGTCCGACTCACACGGGGCCGGCGTGGGGCTTCAGCGTCCGACTCACACGGGGTCCGCGTGGGGCTTCAGCGTCCGACTCACACGGGGTCCGCGTGGGGGTTCAGCGTCCGACTCACACGGGGCCCGCGTGGGGCTTCAGCGTCCGACTCACACCGGGCCTGCGTGGGGCTTCAGCTTCCGACTCACACGGGGCCCGCGTGGGGCTTTAGCGTCCGACTTACACGGGGCCCGCGTGGGGCTTCAGCGTCCGACTCACACGGGGCCCGCGTGGGGCTTCAGCGTCCGACTCACACGGGGCCCGCGTGGGGCTTCAGCGTCCGACTCACCTCTTCTTGCTGGGACGCTCGCGCTGCCGAGTCCAGGAGAAGCACGCTCCCATGGCGGGGCCGCTCGTCCGCACGGGGGGGAGGGAGGGGGCACGAGAGGCGAGTCGAGGCGGTACAACGCGAAGGTCGAAGATCGCCCTTCGGGTAGCGACGAAGATCGCCGACGAGGAGGATCAAGATTGAGGAGGAAGAAGATTGAGGAGGAGGAGGAGGATCAAGATCGAGGCGCTGCTGCTTTCCACCTGCCCAGCCGCGCGTCAAGTGAGGCCACGCCCACAGCCCACGTGACCACGCCCACAGCATACAGGCCACGCCCACAGCCCACGTGACCACGCCCACAGCATACAGGCCACGCCCCGCGTCGACCACGTGACCGCCACTCGATTAATCGATTATCAACTAATCAAGTCCTCATCGCGCCCTGATCGACTCAGGTTCGCAGCGTTATTTGGTTGAACTCCAACTGCGGCTGTCCTATCGATGAGGGTCCGCCATGAGACGTGCCCTGTTTATTTTACAAATGTTTTGTTTGTAAACGGAGACCGAATGACACGTGATCAATAATCGACTCACGTTAACACTACCCGAGATTAATCGATTGCACTATTAGAATCGAATCGCGACCGCGAAAATGTTTCTCTCACCTGACATTGAGGCTGATAGAGCGAGCAACAGTGGGCACGCCAGATCGATAGAAGAGTAAATACGAAGTGGAGAGAGTGGGGTGGAGAGAAATCGATTACTGATTAGAATCGCGACCGTTAATCGCGACGACCCAAGAAATCGCCTCGTCGTGTGATCAGTGGCAAGGCCAACGCGGGCCCAGCTGCTGCCGCTGCTGCTGCTGCTACGAGTGGAGGTGGTGGTGGTGGAAATGGTGGTGGTGGAGGTGGTGGTGGTGGTGGAGGAAGTGGTAGTGGTTGTGATGGAGGTGGTGGTGGTGGTGGAAATGGTGGTGGTGGTGGTGGTGGTGATGGAGGTGGTGGTGGTGGAGGTGGTGATGGTGGTGGTGGAGGTGGTGGTGGTGGAGGTGGTGGTGGAGGTGGTGGTGGTTGTGGTGGTGGACGTGGTGGTGGACGTGGTGGTGGAGGTGGTGGTGGTGGTGGAGGTGGTGGTGGTGGAGGTGGTGGTGGTGGTGGAGGTGGTGGAGGAGGTGGTGGTACAGGTGGTGGAGGTGGTGGTGGAGGAGGTGGTGGAAATGGTGGTGGAGGTGGTGGTGGAAGTGGTGGTGATGGAGGTGGTGGTGGTGGTGGTGATGGTGGAGGTGGTGGTGGAGGTGGTGGTGGAGGTGGAGGCCTCCTGCGCCAGGCCTCGGGCTCGCATCGTTGGTAAACGACCGCGATCTGAGGTTGTCAAGTTTAACAAAGTGGAGGAGGTTTTCGCGACCAATATAATCGATAGTAGAGGTTTGTGGATTGGATCGCGTGAATATGAATGTGTCGTTAAGCCCGCCACCACCCGACACATCCAATGAGTAAGGTTTGTCACGTAAACTAAACACCAAATAGTGTGTTGGAGAGTAAACCCACGACATGTACAGTTATTACCTTTAATCGCCTTCTTAACGTGGCAAACCTTGCTAATTGACTGTGTCGGGTGGTGCGGATTGCACGACACATCATGTTCACGAGATCGATGAAGCCTCTCTTATTGATGATCTTTTCAAATTGGCCTTCTATTCTTAAACTCGGTCTTGACCATGCGATGCTCTGCTGGACGACATTCTAAGCATCGCAAATGAAGTAACTTTAGCATTTCGTATTTATTTGGAACTAACAATATGAAGACAATTATATTTTTGTGACAATAGTTTAAGCCATTGTTTAGTGCTGGCCTCTCGTCGTTTTGTGCCTAACAGGCGTTTACCATTTGTTCATCACTGTGTGGAGAGGCCTTCAATCAGCAGCAGCAGCAGCCTGTCAAGCATCTTCACTGTGTGTTCTCTCTCTACTTGTGTGTCTGTCTGTGTGTCTCCGTGTCTATGTTTAGTCTCTCTCGCAAATGTAGCATTCTTTGGAAGAACGTCCATCAACCAAACTCTCTGGTTCTCGCGGTAAAGTCACGTCGCTATAAATAAACTAAAGTAAGTCGTGACGTTTCGCCTGAGGACGGACGCTTGCGTTGCATTCGAGACGTCGTGATGTAGTTGATTTTCTACCCACGTGACTTTACCGCAAGAACCAAAGAGTGGATTCCTGCAGTCACGAAAGCTTCAAATCAAGGTTCATCAGCCAGGTAGGATGTTGACTCTTGTGTTAGCCGACTCTCTGCGTTGTGTTAATTTATATTTCTAAGTTTACGATGTTTGTTTTCTCATTTATTCGTACCTGATGATGGTTGCTTGTGTTGCAATCGAAACGTTGTATTCGATTATTATTTAATTTATTTTCTTTCTACGTGGCTTTACCGAAAGAACCATAAAGTAAACATAATATAAACAAAATGTTTGCTCTTTTTCACCAACGGGTTTGAAGGATGGTGGCAAGTGTTGTCTTGTTAAACTTTGCCTTTTAAAACTGAAAACTACTTACCTGCAGTACCTGTATTTAAATACACTATTGAAAAAATAATTTACACCCCTCTGTCAATCATCGTGTTTCTCAGTGTGGATTTGTGAACACACTTTGTAAACAGTACGTAAAATAGTGCGCATTTTCAATGCGCTGTTCATATTGTAACAAGCGGTTATACCTATGTCACTCTACAGAGTAGTGGGTCGCCGCTCCTCTTATCCGCATTGATACGAGCGGTATGTGGGGACTATGGCTTAACCGCAAAAAAACATCTGCACAGATGCATACGGGCAAGAGAAGTTATATCAAACAGGAGGAATTAATGGTGCCACACATATCATCTGTTAAATATCTGCAGGTAATAGGATTGTCATCTATTGATCCTGACTGCAGACATTTGTAGGTCACAAATAACAATGAAGATAAGAGAGCAGTTTCACTTTAGTTTGCAAAGCGCGTTATGACAAATAAAGGACTTGAGTCGTGTAGGCAGTTTGATCAGCTTTGGATAAGACTTATGATCCTGCCCATACCCGAGCATGGAGTGCATTCCCTTGTTCAGCTCTTCTGCTCATTCGTCCTCGCTGCTGCGCTTGGACACGACAACAGAATGATCCGTGCCAGGCTGGTCGCGGCGTTTATGTGCGCGGTGGGATGGAATGACAATTAATTAATTATTTACGATTTTGACTTCCGTTTATTCGAGACCCTGGGGTCCGCCATAAGGTTCAATTGTCCAAGTGTTTGCGGTCCGCAGCCAACCAATCGGTGCACCAGGAGAAACCCCACGCATGCTAAGGGCACTCCACTATCCCGTACGGACGTCACAAGTGGAGTCCACGTTCTTGCTGCACCGCTTCCTCCTGAGGAGCCAGGGCACGGGTTCCTCCTCGACGCCCACGGGAAGGGAGTTTGACACCATCTGTGCGAGACCCACCAACCCTCGCTGCTGCTCCCTCCACGGTGCCATATTACAGGCGTGCGTCGCCATCGCCCTCATCTCGAACCCTACCAATTCGCCTGTAAGCCACTCGTGTTGTCTCTACCGCGATCGCTCAGCCATTAGCCAGCCACACAATGACTCGGACCATGTCACTTACTCCCCCTCTCCCCCTTCCAAGACTTCTGTCGGGGACCATTGAATTGTTTCCTTTCACGTTATCTTCGTAATCAGTACATTTTGGGATTGAATCCCCTGACAGATTACGAGAGATGCCGCGCGGGGTGAGCTGTGATCATTCTTTTAGCCGTAACAGGGTTCCGGTGTTCAGGTCGCCCTGTTGGTGTCCTCTCACTCACGATAGCCACTGCCATCAACGCTGCCCCCCCCCCCCCCCCCCGTGCGTCTTGCACTCAGGAACCTGTTCGTAGGTTCCATAGCAATGTCAGTCGAGTTAATTGGCATTGTTCAGAGCAATTACCGCCCCCTTCCTGCGGAAACTTGGCAGGGCCCTCCAAAGGAAGGAAGATATTGTGAGGCTTTCCACGGTAAACCCGTGTAGGAATAATATAATACACATATCTATATTTTTTAAGGCAAAGTGATTTCCGGCTCAAATGAGAGTTACAGAGGTACTCATTTCTGGTTTGCAGCTGAGAACCAGCGGTGGAAATTACACATTCCTAAGGTTAGAGGGGGGGGGGGGTCTGTCCATAAGGCAATGACTGTTGTTTTCGCTACCCAAGATAGGATTGCATGGCACAATAATATCGGATTATTGTGGACCAGGGATACCTTGTGTTCTAGTGGTAGTGCCTAATGCCAAGTCCCAACTTGCAAGCCAGCCTAGCAGCATTTAGAAAATGAATCCCAGGGTATAAGTTGCTGGGGAGTCGAGTCCGTAATGTCTGTCCTAAGCCGCTCTGCTTGGCTCTCTTCCCCATGTCCCTCCCCCACGCGCACTCCTAGGATCCCTCCAATGACTCCGGCTCCTCCTCCCGTTCGTCGGGGCGGTGCTGCTCGCTGTGTGGTTCGCACGCAGAACGTGGCACAGAGAGACGTCCCACGCACAGGGAGGTGAGCGGTGCCATACTCACCACCACTCACCACAACTCACCACCAAGACACGTCACAACTCGCCACAACTCACCACAACTCGCCACCACACCCTGAACCGCTCACCACCCCCCCCTGCACCACTGACCACCACACCCCGCACCGCTCGCCATCACCACACCCTGCACCGCTCACCACCACACCCCGCACCGCTCAGCACCACTACACCCTGCATCACTCACCGCTAGAGTTGCGATATCTTATTGTATGTTTTATTTGAGTGATTTAAGTGATTGATTTCCCTACCAATTGCCGGTTCGATTACTCAACCAATTGGATAACAGATTCTCAGGAGTAGTTTTGTCATGTCCGATCCCGAGGGTTGTTCGCCGTCACAAATGTGCACTGCTCGCTGAAAATATATTTCCTAATGGATGCTTCACGTCTCGACACGCCACCCAATGCATAACCAGAACAGCACAATTTTGGTTACATTTGGCACAATATTTGTTGCATATCAGACATTGAAATCACACGCGGCAACAAATAATTAT